TTTCTCTTCTATTCTGCTGTCTCCAGGTATTGCAATGTCCACTATCCAGACTTTTTTGTCTTTCTTATCAACAATTGTTAAGTCTGGGGTATTCTGTGCCAGGATGATGATGATGATGATGATGATGATGATGATGATGATGATGATGATGATGATGATGATATGATGGGAGTCAGAGGGCGGGCCACTCTCGGGGAAGGCGCCCCTGGTGTCTGTTACCAGTGGCATGTTCCAGCCCTCTTTACTCAGACCCAGGCCCCAGATAGCAGTTCCAAGGCAGCCCTGGCTTTCAGCTTCTGCTTTTTAACGCCAGGTCAGTTAACAACAAGGCCCCCCTTATATGTGATCTGATCACCAAGGAGCAAGCAGACCTGGTGTGTATTACCGAGACCTGGTTGGGCCCTAAAGGGGGGTTCCCCTTTTGGAAATTTGCCCAGCTGGGTTTAAAGTTTGGCACAAGCCAAGACCCCAGGGCAGGGGAGGAGGGGTAGCAGTTGTCATCCGGGAATCTCTGTTGGTCTTAAGGGGCCCTGCTCCACAAGTGACCGGCTGTGAGACCCTGTTCCTGAAGTTGGGTTTGCAAGAACAGTTAAGACTGTTGCTACTGTACCAGCCTGCCTCACACTGGACTTGGTTTTCTTGACAGAGCAGTGGCAATGTGATCTGAAGGGAGAATTACATCTGTCCCCCTTGTCATGGTCGGATCACCTCCTGGTGGCCCTGAGATTCTCCTATACTACCCCTCTCCACAGGAAGGCAGGACCCATTCAATTGGTCTGCCCCCAGCAACTGTTGGACCCAATGGGTTTCCAAAGACAGCTGGGTGCTATCACCAATCTGCTGCACAGTCCAGCAGAGGCCCTGGCCGCCACCTGGAATAGGAAGGCAGCCGAGGCCTTGGACAAGATCACGCCTGTGTGACCTCTCTTGACCCATTGAGCCCAATACTCCCCGTGGTTTACAGAGGAGTTGAGGGTTCTGAAAAAGATGAGACATTTAGAGCACCACTGGAGGAAAGCAAGGACTGAATCCAACTGAACACAGGCTAAAGCCAATATTAAGGCCTACCTTGTGTCGGTAAGAGCACCAAAATGTCAACACTTCTCCACTCTTATTGCATCCACAGAATGGTGCCCAGCAGCCCTGTATAAGATCACCCAATATCTTTTGGCTGCACAGAGGAGTTTTCTGGCCATCTGGAGGATAAAATCGTTTGGATACGTTCCCAGTTGGATACCAAGCATGTGGCATGGCCTGTGAAGATGCCTGGGGTATGTACTTACCCTGTTATCTGGGAGCAATTTGATTCTGTAAGACCTGAGGAAGTGGACAGGGTCCTCCGGGCTGTAAATGCCACCACCTGTCAATTAGATCCATGCCTCACCTGGCTGGTTAAGGCAGCTCAGGAGGTGATGTGTGGGTGGGTGGGTCAAGGTGATGATAAATTCATCCTTGAGGGAGGGAATGTTTCCAGTGGCCTTTAAAGACACACTGTTGCACCCCCTCCTCAAGAAACCATCGCTGGATCCCACTGCACTGGACAATTTTTGTCCAGTCTCCCACCTCCCCGTTTTAGGGAAGGTGGTTGAGAAATGATGGCATTGTAGCTCCAGAGGATCCTGGAGGAAACAGATGATCTGGACCCTTTTCAATCAGGTTTCAAGCCCGGATATGGGATAGAAACAGCATTGGTTGCACTTTTGGATAATCTCTGGCAGGAGCGGGATGGAGGTAGTGCATCCATCCTTGCTCTTCTTGACCTCTCAGCAGCTTTAGATACCATCGACCATGGTATCCTTTTGGGTTGGCCTGGGGAGTTGGGGGTGGATGGGACAGTTTTGTGCTGGTTCACCTCCTTCCTCCAGGGCCAGTCCCAATCAATGTTGATAAAGAGTGAGAGGTCCAGCCCACAGCCCCTCCTTTGTGGGGTGCCGCAGGGTTTGGTACTTTCTCCACTCCTTTTTAACATCTACAATGAAACCACTGGGTGAGATCATCCACCACCATGGGATGAGGTATCATCAATACGCAGATAATACCCAGTTATACATCTCCATCCCAGGTGATTTGAGTGATGCTGTGACTACCCTTTCACAGTGCCTGGAGGCTGTGGGGGCCTGGATGGGGAATAACAGGCTTCAGCTGAACCCTGGTAAGACAGAGTGGCTGTGGATTGGGGGCTCCTCCGTGTCCCGAAGTTTAGCATCTTTGGTTCTGGATGGGGTTGCACTGCCCCAGGCAGACCCAGTGCATAATCTGGGGGTCCTCCTGGACTCACAACTCCTGCTGAAAGAGCAGGTGGCAGTCATGGCCAGGAGGGCCTTTGCTCAACTACATGCGGTGCACCAGTTACACCCTTTCCTGGATCGGGAGGCCCTCCACTCAGTCACTCATGCCCTAGTCACCTCCCATACAGACTATTGCAATGCGCTGTACATGGGACTACCCTTGAAGAGTATCCAGAAACTACAGCTGGTTCAAAATGCAGCCACGTGGATGATATTAGGTGCTCCTAGGATGGCACGTTACACCTTTGCTGCGGGAGCTGCATTGGGTGCCAGTTTGCTTCTGGGTCCAATTCAAGGTGTTGATTATCACCTTTAAAGCACTACATGGCGCTGCGGGAGCTGCATTGGGTGCCAGTTTGCTTCTGGGTCCAATTCAAGGTGTTGATTATCACCTTTAAAGCACTACATGGCACGGCACCAGGTTACCTGAGGGACCATCTCACCCCCATTATATCGACCCATCCCACCAGGTCAAGCAGAGAGGGCCCCATCAGCAAAAGAATGTCAACTGGCAGGGCCCAGAAGGAGGGCCTTCTCTGCCGTGGCCTCTGCCCTATGGAATACCCTCCCCCCAGAGGTGAGGCAGGCCCCTACTCTCTTGATCTTCCAGAAAGCAATTAATACCTAGCTTTGCCAACTTGCATGGGGCAAAAAAAGGGGCAACCAACCCTGGGGGTGGCTAGCACCTTGAAGATGCTCCTGTATGTTAATAATTTTTCTACCAGCAGCACCTTGGAAGATATTATTATTTATTTATTTGTTTGTTTTTTATTGTATTTTTACTGTAGTTTTATACTATTTTTATTGTATTTTAATTATATGTATTTGTTGTTTTTATTGTAAACCGTCCAGAGTCATTCCCTTGTGAGATGGGTGGTGGCTAAATTTTAAATAAATAAATAAATAAATAAATAAATAAATAAATAAATATTATTAAACAGGGCTAGTACTACAGCATTACTGATTCTGAAAGTATTCTCCAAAATAATTTTCCCAGCTCAGTGCCCTAAAATGTGTTGGATTAAAGATTAGGGGTATCCAATCTAAACTGTAGAAATCTGGACAACTGCTAGATAGCAACAAAGAATGTTCTCTGTATCTTTCTGCTGCCATCGAGTGGACATATGAATCAACACATGAAGTGCAGAAATTTCTGTAATTAAGCAAATATTTCTGAAATTATTTAGTACAGTAATATATTATGATAAGTGAGATCTACACCAAAATATTGCAACAAAGTATCCTTCCTAAATGGAGCACTTCTGAGTTAGGATTCCAGCCGGCAATTACCTTCAAAAAGGGTATTCCATTCTTCCTTGCTGGCAACTCTCTTACTCTTTCTTGTTTAGCTCCCAAACAGGCAGTAGTTTTTAGATTTCACCTTTACATTTATATTCAAGCAATTCCCTACTAAAACCTTTGGAAACTAGACCCTTTAATTTTGTGTCCCTAACAAATGGACTAAACTCTACTTCCACTTTTTCCATCATTTACTTTGTATTTTAAAAACAAAGCAAAACAGATTTTTTTGTGGAGTCCTTGGTGCTCTCTGAGCTTGGTTGTTTGCTTGCAGACGTTTCGTTACCCAACTAGGTAACATCATCAGTGTGAGTATGGGTTTTGCTCCCTGTTTATATACAGTATCTTCCCCTGCCAGTTTTGATGGGGGTGTGGTTTTCTCCTTGGTAGTTCCTTGATTAGGGTATTGTTTTCTGCTT